GATACCAGTATAGTCTGTGGGTCGATGTAATCTGTGGGGTTTATACTGAGCGCTGTAATATACAGCTCTCAGTATAAACCCCACAGATTACATCGACCCACAGACTATACTGGTATCATGGATTGACGGCGAAATTGGGCTAGTTTCTCAAACGCCAAAAGTTTGTGCGCGGGTGCAGCACATCGGCTGCTTTCAGAGTCCACCGCGCCGGCCCCACCAGCCACGCGCTCGCGTTCGCGGGACCGGCAGGCGAACTCTGTAAGCAGCCATTGATCTCCCAGACTATTACTCTATCTCGAGGCTACGATGAAGGTGGGCGGGGAGTTTTACGGTTGATAACTCTCTCGAATTGTCCACCGGTCTGTTCGGTAACTGAAAAGAAATGACCCAACAATTCAGGGCAATGAAGCGGCATCGGTCTTCATGCCTGCACTCATCAATTGTCTTCCCGATCGATTAGTATTATAGATCAGGAGGGACGTAAGTCGAACGCAGTTGATCAAAACAACGCAAAGAGCGCATTTAAGTAAAATCTCACAATTTATGGCCATTATTGTCGTTAAATGCTGAGTAGGAATCGACAAGTACTTGAGTTCCTTTCCGGATAAAAGTGGCTCCATTCGGAATAATGACTTCTTTACGGAGTTCAGCTCCCCAAGAGTTCTGTACGCAATGCCTCGGGTAGAGCACCTGGAGCATCGTTCTATGTAATTATGGTAACGACAAAATTAACGAAATTTTGAGAACTCTGAGAAATTCATCTCGGGTCTACGGGATTAAGCTTCGAATAAGAAAACTTTGAAAATTCTTGGTGGGTCCGGTTAAGGACTTGTCTATTTAGCTCAGCGGACATTCGGGTGATTTCCCGATCCCGGATGGGTCCTCAACAAGTGGTACATTGCCGGAAAACCTCAAGTATCATTCTACCTGTTCAACAGGTGGGTCTTCAAATTCGACAGTGTCGAAAGGTTTGAGCGATTTGCATGAGCCATTGTGCTTGATCGATCGATCAGTGTTGCAAGCAGACTCCACGAAGGAAATGTGGTCATATGGATGCCAGTCCTAAATAGAACGGTACTGATTTTCAATTTTCAGTACTTGAACAGTTATTAAGACTGAGGGTATACTAGTACGGTGATGACGGTTATCCCAAAAACGACTAATCACTACCGTAACGTACCTGGGTAAACACAACCAAATCCAAAGCACTATCTGATGTTAGGGCATTCAGCGGGGCTATCGCTTCTAATGGGTCTTCGTTGGCACTTCCATCCTGAATGTAGAAATTATTCGGGAAGCAGTTTCCATCTATTCGGGCCTTCTGTATTTTGGCCTCTTGCCATCCGTTTATGAATAAAAGTGTTCCAACTAAAATCAATGCCAATTTCCCATGACCCGGAGCAGGGCGAGGGATCTTGTACCCGGACGGTGTACCTAGCTCGCCTACGTGTAAGAGCGCGCAGTGTAAGGATGAGATTCGAATTTTAACTGGGATCATTACAGTAAATCCCGCGAAACCATTGCCACGTGCGTGCCTGCGACCGTGGGAATTCAGATATAAGGCTGCCACATCTCCAAGTATAACACTGCTGTATGATTACTGCTTTTGGGTATTGTTGTCCTTCCTCACAATTCCAAACATCTATGTCTGCGCTTGTCCGGGTTATCTTTTATGACAACGTGCAATCATTTCACTAAGGTTTCTTTCACATAGGCTGTAATGAGAGGAAGCAACGGCGAAATAACCAGGAGGGTCTCACAGACTTGCTCATATCCTTATCTTTTTACCTTTTCTATCTGATTTTATATCAGCCACTGGAACCGAACCGTTTACCTGTATTTTGAGAGATCCGCTGATGAAATCATTCTGGAAATCCACAACAACCAATGCAACTTTCAGATTTCTGAGCTTATCGAATACCGTATGCTGCATTCTTTGCAGATCATTCTTCGCTATTTGCGAATAGGAGCTCTGCAAAGGGTTGGAAACATGTACAGAAACTTTCAAGTCAAAATTTGTTTTTGTGAGAGGAATGAAAACCTTAATCAGTTTATATTACCATGAAAGGATACTTTGAAAGTGTCAGTGTCACATGGCATATCAATTATGAATTATAATTCTTTCGAGTCTCTTTCGATGCCTACTTTTTTTGTTATTTCACCTTTAGAGGCTGCTTTAAGAGCTTCAGTTCAAATCCCTCTTGTGAAACCAGTTTCTAGCAAGTTATAGTCTTAGGAGAAGGATTCGTACTGAACCTCCAAAATGGGCTGAAAGTTAGCATCGATTTGTACCAAAAGCATTGATTTTCAAAGTTACGGACCGTAGCGAGGAGGTTGACTGCTTTGTTAATGCTGTCTTGTTCGAGCGATATGAGCCCATCTGGATTGTCACTGGCATCTGCCTCTGCCGACCATTCGGGCATTTGGACGACCTTAAAGAAGACAGCTTAGAGACCAAACGACTCGAATGATGTGTTGATGCTTCGACAACATCGTTATTTACATATGTGCATTAAGATTCACCAGAGTGGAGCAGAGATGGGGCAACTTGCTAATCTACGTAGGGAAAGACTGAGGATCAAACGTAACCCATGTTAAGCTCTACCTCTGGGCCATCGAAGCCTTTGATTCCGCAGTTAATCGGTAATCGATTTCCATGAGGGCAGAGGTTCCTATAGATGTAGATCGCTCTACTCCCTGACAGCCCCGCCCTTGCTTTCTATTTATGAATCCGAGACAATCTTAATCGGATTGGCTTTGCAGGTTGTGGACGAGTGTAGGAGGAATATTATCTCCTGGAGGACAAAATATGAAGCTGTCACGAAGAAAAAAAGTTCTAGAAACCAGTGAACTTGGTCAATCATTCAGCCAAAGAATAAACCGGTACTGATTGTGAAAAACTCTTTTGACTTCCATTCAAAAACCGGTTTCTCGTCCTCAGCACACACTCAATCTTCTTCCCTTTTCAGTGAAGTAATGCCTTCAACTGATCTGAGTCCAAAATTTTCAGGTCGTTGTAGCAGTCAACATGTGCTCAATCCGCCCGAACTTTCTTCAGATTCCATGAATAATGCTTGATAGTTCAAGCAGCGTGCACTATAGGACCACTTTGCGTTAGGAATTTCACATAACCATTAACGCTGTTCAAAAGCAAATGTAATTCGATAAGCGGAATTGGTCGGTGGGACATTTCCAATCGTTATCAGGAGCAGGCAAAGGCAAATGAAGGAGGTGCCCACCCATTTTGGAAGGCCCCTTTAATGACTATCGAACGCTCGCTTCGCATTTTAAAAAGCAAATGTAATTCGATAAGGGGAATTGGTCGGTGGGACATTTCCAATCGTTATCAGGAGCAGGCAAAGGCAAATGAAGGAGGTGCCCACCCATTTTGGAAGGCCCCTTTAATGACTATCGAACGCTCGCTTCGCATTTTACGGAATTTCAAAGGAAAAAAGGAAGGCTAAGTTGAGATGTTTATTTATTTATTTATTTAGTCATACACTCATGATCTAACACCAGATAAAGACCGACGTCATGGTTGTTGAAGCAATGACCTACTTAGCTTGTTTCGAGCTAGGTGAGCCAAAGCTCAATTGGGGAGCAATAGTCGCATTTTATTTTGAATTTTATTTTTATCATTTTTGAAATGGATGGCATTGAGCTCCGCGTATGTTTAACTTGAGGAGACCTGACATCTGATGACAGGCTGGCCTCCTAAGTTAATTCCGTGTGAGTGCGGACTAATCTGAATGGCTCTCAATGGCTTGCAACAAGAAAGCACCTTATCACCGCAAACTAAGGGTCTACAGAATCGTCGTACGAACAGTCGCGGCTTATGGAGAAGACTACTGGTCTGTGACCAAGGGAATTGAAGCACGTGATGGAGACGAAAGTGAGGATGAAGAACAAGCTAAAATGTTCTGATCCAGTTGGAAAATAGCTCGAGAAACAGCTTTAACAACAAAAATATACAGCTAGAGAGAAATCTTTGAAATAGCTTTAAAAATTTAGTCATCCTGGCAGGAGAAACCGTCGTTCTCACAGAAAAGGGAGAGTGGTTTTACATTGAACTGGAGCATAACATGACGCTTTTTCCTCTGGAAGCTTACTTAATCGACATCGCTTAAAAATAGATCGACAATGAGAAAGGGCATTCAGCACATGCTCGGTTGCGGCTGTGCCACCTAGCCATTCCAATGTGTACATATGTGAATGTGATATGATACAGAAAAATTAAAACCGAAAATAAACTGACGCCTCTGTTTATATTTACGTCACGAACACTTAATACAAAATGCAGATTAATTGAAGATGAGTCTTAGAACAAAAATGGCTCAGTTATAAAAGGTGAGGCACAGACAGCCACTTTAGCCTATGATGTCATCAACTATTCTCGAAGTTACTGTAGTTTAATGTGAAAAATTTGATACCATGAGAAAAAAATCATTTTTGCAAATAGCTAATCAATCCAGATACCATCGTTGTTTAGTGATTTAATGGCACGCTACTAGTTAATCTTCGGAGGATTTAGGGAGATTTGGCTGAGAGATGAAATGACATTGAACGATTAAGCAACAACGACAAAATTGAAAAGGGCCTCTGATCTTTCGACCTCGAAAATAGCCGACCCTGTTCTATAAGCCTCGCTCTATGATTTCAAGTGATTCATAAAATCTAAATAAAGGATGGAGTTTTTGGCGTGGAGCGGTCCTCTTTTCGGTATGCGCACCGCCTTCGACTTTCATTTAGTATTGCAGTAGCGAATTGGCCCGATAGAACGTGGCTGTGGCCAGCGGATGTACATGCCGAAAATTTTAGACTTCCAGACGAGCCTGGCATCAAGTTACCGACGCCAAAAGGATGGATAGCTTGGTTGGATAGGCTGAGGGCTTGATTCTCGGACCATGCGGATGTGATAGTGTGCCTTTTGGTATTACACCATCTCTGCCCTTGTGATAAACAAAATACTCTACAAAATTACAAAATTACCTACAGTGGAGATACCCACGGAGTTACAGAGGAAAAGTTGTACCGAACTTCAGATGGGTGGTGACTTGAGAAGGGCGCTGTATCAGAACAACACAAATTTTTGAAGAATTCAATAATAACACTTGATAATTGATGATACATTTGAGTGTGGAGGCGAAAGACAGAATCTCCGTTTGAACAAAGAAGAGAAGCCAATTGAATATCTTTGATCATCTATGTATATAAAGATCTTTGTCTTGCTGGCTGCGCTTTCGGCTTCAACGCAAGTCACTGGCCGATTCAACAAGTGGACGTTCGAAGGGGAGGAGGGGAGGGGCAGGGGGATTGTAACAGAATACAAGGCGAATAACTGTCTAATCTCCTCGAACGAAAGGAAGGTGAAAACCACTCTGTTGGTACAAGTTCACCCAAACAAATACTTTGAATGATTGATGTTTTGGCGAGTTTATCTTCATCGAAGTCTCGAAGGTTGGAATCAACTTCAGCTCTCTTTTCAAGTGTCCAGAGAAGACCAATTTGCCGAAAAATTAGCTAGTATTTGCCGACCTCAATTTCAATGGGGATTTCAATTAAACGCTGAAGTTTATCGTGAGCAGCAAGTGGAGTCAAGATAGCGTCCAATCAAACTTTTCATTGGAAGTAAAATTTTAGTGAGGTACAGGGTGGCTCAGTTTTGTTGGCTGGAGCTTCCATTTTGCAAGTCTGAAATCCAACCCAAATCATAGAAAGGTGAGCAAATATATACCTCAAGTAAAAATATCGGGTTTCAGAGAGTTGGCGTCTATACAAAACGAATTCGCAGATAGAACAACCTACCGTAGAACTACAAAAAGAAGTCTACAACGAGAATGCCGATATTATCGAGCCTTACTGGAAGGTTTATCGAATTATATTGCTTCGATAACTGCATTAGAACACTACTCAAACAAAAAAGAGCATGATCGACCGTGAAGATTTTTGCGATGAAGTTTTCTGATAAATGGGTACAGATGAACCAGTTCGGGAACTACTTTGTAGAGGAAAGAGTGTACGATAGGGCTGGGATTATGGGCGACTGGTGCACACAATACGATAAATCTTCAAGTTGCCATTTATTCCTCGCTTTAATTGTCAATCAGGGTTTCATACACACAAAAAACCACGTCCAGATATGAAATCAAAATTGAATTCATCACGTTTCCTGCTAGGAGCTGAAGAAATACGTGGCCATCACTAAATTAAGCGATTTAGGTAGTACTTACCAAGAAGAAAATGGCCAGGAAAGGAAGATGCTGCATGAGCCTTTCCTGAGAAGGTTGGAGAAGGCCAAACCGGGGTATCGGTTGTCAATGATTGTTGTTTCTCTCGCTAGCACGTGGTGACGCAAGGTCGACGTTCATGAAGACTCTATTTTGTTAAGTAGGAGAGAACGCAAATCAAATAAACTTATCATGCGTGCGAAGGGTGGATTATTGGTCAGTGACCGAAGTCGAACAAGTTGGTCTCATTAGACCCCATTAGACTGAATGTTGCTCCTCACTGGCAGCTCTAAGCTCCCTCTAGTCTTTGAGTGGATGAACACTATCATCTGATGTAAATGCTGGTAATAACTGTTGACGTGCATGTCAATATCTATAATTGGAATTCTAAGACTAGACCCGGAGAAGAAAACTAAATCTGCTTGGAGCACAAGGTCCTTACTGCCAATGAAACAAGCAGAAGGCTCTGCAGGAATCGCATCGGTATCTCATGTTTTTGATTAAAACTGAAATTTTTCACCATTCTATGTTATTTTTCCCGTCAATTACCGTGCTAAAAGCTCATCATTTATCAAAAACAGAACGATATTCTCTTTTTTAGGAATGAAGACACTTTTAGAAACTTTAGCAACCATTGCAACAAAATTTTTAGCTAAGAAAGATGTCTGAAAAAAAAGGTAGGTTGCGAAAAAGGTCAGGAATCATTCATAGAATTTTACATTGATTGGAGCTGTTGGATTAGAAGGAAAATCCTTGACTATGAGTTGAATTTGGCACCC